ATTATATTTTTTATTTCTACAATTCATTTTACGAATGTTTCACATTTGTAACGTTCGAAAAATCATGCAAAGACGTCATTGATCAATGATACTGATACTTGATAAACGTAAGTGAACATTGCACTAACTATAGGTAACTCTTATTGCATAAGTTCACTAAGAGTCTAGTATCTGTAATTTTGAACGGTAACGAACGATGATTTCCTTTTGGGATTATTCGTGCCAATGTTTGGAATTCAGTCGAGACAGGATGACAGGAGCAGAAACAGATTCCGAATAATATCATAGTCGTTTATTTGCGCAAACAAATGTATCACTATGATACTTTGGGGAGTACCCGAATGTGTTTGGTTACTATGAGGAGATTTCGGCTGGAGATCGTGAATTAATAGATTCTGTATACATGTAATTGAAGTAAATAAACAACAAATTGTCTGTTGTTATCATACGCGATTGATGTGCACGTAGCAGTAACACATTCGATACAAGAAGATCAGTTTAATCCAATGCGCAATGAATTCATTCATTCGTTTGCGTCTTAATGCAATCATAGCAGAGATCAATCAGACTGGTCGATCAACTCCGAATCAGAAGACTCTCGATCATACAGAACACTCTGAAGATCAGTGCATAAAGAAACTTGAAACATCTAATCACAAGAATGCCATTTCGTTACTTTAACATGAAAAGGTTGCAACGAAAGTTTCAGACTACTTAAGTATTCTCTATTTGCAGCAAGTAAAAACATGCTATCAGGAAACTGAAAGCCGTACGACTGAGCAGGAGACACGACACGACGAAATGAAAAACATCTGAAAATTATAAATAATAGATAAATCAATGGACATTAAACCAACTTTTGCGATTCATCGGTGATGCTCGTTGACCACGACAGGTGATCAGGATAGGCGAACGACGGCTGCGTGTTATCCGACGATGAACGCATTATTGGGGCCGGATCGGGTATTGGCGAACACAACGATGACGATGAACTGCATCGAGTGGGCGTTTGCTCGGAGGTATGCGCCGATTGAAGAAGCGACTAAAAACTGACTTTAAATCGAGTGCAATTTTTGAGTACTTCCATTTGCATTTCATGAAGAAACCTCTCCATTGCAACTTCATAATCTCACATTCAGTCTGTCATCACAACCAGTCCTTTTTACTGGAATTGTTCTGTTCTATTCCTTGGCGCAATGCAGGAATAGAACAGCTTGACTGGAACAGAAACACCACTACCCTAGACATTGCGATTTAACCGAAAATGGAACACGGTAAAATTTGAGCATAGATGACCATACAACTCGAAATATTCAAATATATCGCACCACATCTAAAGGACTATTGATATCCTCACAAGTAGAGTCTCTCCTATAATAACCACACCATCAAACCCCTCAAAAACTCTACGATGATCTTTGCCAAGCACTAAAAATGCTCAGATTTATCATCTTTAATTTGTCATTCGTGCCCACCATTTGTAGCAGTAACGTTTAAATTCTGTTTTTTTGGCCCAACTAATGCTCAAACCGGTTTCCACTTCTTGTACAAAGTATCATAAGATCAGTTTTTAAGGCCATCAACCGAAACAACTGCGACAAAAATAGCAATGAAGGTGTTTTTTTTTGAGCATTGGTTGGGATCCGCTATCGAAATATCAATAAACTGTGTGTGATTCATTATTTGTTCGTTTTTTGGTTTATATCGTTGCTTTTATCATGAGATATGGAATTCGTTTTCTATCGATAAATGAATTCCCAAAAAAAACCATGCATCTGTAAACAACGAGAGTAATCGCGCTAACAGATCTTCAAGAGATACATTCCAATGTTTCTTTTTCTTTTCAAACAACAGACAGAAGACGTTCATATGGTCTTGAGGGAATTTAACAACGAAAGTAGAAACGCCATCTCTGAGAAGAGTCTTTCGAACAGGCCATTAAAGGGATGGTAAAAGATAACTGTCCGACGAAATGATTCCAACCTTAAAAGCGAATAATAATCAGTGCGACTGCAAATGAAATCAGTTCAGTACCAAGATAACTGACAATAATATCACTGGATACAATCAAATTCGCAACTGCAACGTCACATATCGAAAGTGACTGACGTTCGAAATATCAAATTCGAACGTTTACAAAAGAGCACTTCAAATAACTGGTGACGATACCTTCAGTAAGGCATCCTTGACCTTTGGCGGACCGTTTGTGGGGCACTGTGGCTGCATTGCGTTCTGGGTTTGAGGTGGCGCCGTGGCGTTCATCTGTGGACACCACTGTTGAACGTTCGACACGGTGCTGATCATTGACGATGGTTCCGGTGCGGAATTCTTACGCTTCTGATTGCCGCCACGTCCTCTCGAGTTCGGTTTCGGTTGTCGAGGTCGTCTGCAACACTCAACGGGTCATAACATCGCTAGCGAACAAGAAAACATGATCAATTGCAACGATCTGCTAAGGTTGACTCAAGGAATCACATTGTACGATACTGCTACCTTATATCAAGGATATTGAATACCATAAACTATACTTAACGTCGTAATGGAGGCTAGTTCGATTTCATATGTTCTCCTGTGATGGGTCATGGCGCCTAAGTTAGTATTTCATGTTTCTGCGATATCCGCCAAATACGAATAAAGAGTTCCTCTAAAACTGCAGGCTGTTTCAAACCTACAGTATCCTAAACAGATCATCCAGTTACGTAACCATCCAGCAGCCAATCACGTGCGAGCATTGCTTGTATTATTGGACCTCTGCGTAATCTCTCAATTCTTTCTGATTATTCCCACGTGTTTCGTTGAAACTCAGCGAATTCACCGAAGTTTCTAGGCGAAAATGACGAATATTCTGTTTTTTGGTTTTGTTTTGGCTTTGGGAAAGAGCACTGAACACGAGACATACCTTGGCTTCTTGACCTTTCCATTTTTGGTCAGCTCAACAGTGGGTGGTTGTGGTGGTGGTGGGGCAACTTCAGCTGATGCTAGGTATTGAGGTGGAGGATGAGGTGCCGCAGGAACACAAGATGTTATAGCGGTTTGCGGAGGAGGTAGACTACTTGAACATGGCACGTAGAACATCTGTAAATTCAATACGATTGCTGCATTGTGATGTTTCAATGCGGTTTATGTTTCATAGATATTGAACAGCTCGAGTTTGAGTACGTTTGGATGGAATTACAGCAAATAAACGCTACGGTAAGAGACAATACGCAAGAAATGCTTTGCTTATGTAGCCTAATTTCCAGAAGAAAGAATCATTGGGAAAGAAACTTCATCAGTCAGGTAAGACTTNCCCCCCCCCCCCCCCCCCTCAAAAGAAAAAATCACTAACGAAAAAACAAAACGAAACGAAACAAAACGCAAAACGAGCAGTGTTAGCTAGTACTCACTTATGGGGATGACAAACGGATAAAATATATTCACGAAGAACGAAGGATGATAAATGAAAGAATGCACGAATTGATGAATGAACGGATTTACAGATGAGGGCAATGAGGAAGACAGTCTGTCGTCTCCTTAAACAAAAACAAAAACGCAAATTTGTAGTATTACTAAAAATAACATTTCAATTGCTCAATGCAATTTCAATTGTGCATGCAATGTGCATACATACAAAAGAACGTAATGCATGTTTATACACACATCGAAAAATGTACATATGAATAATCAATGGTGACAGATAGTTGGTAGGCACGATAAGGTGCGAGAATGTATCACCATCATTATCGCCTTCATCGAAACATCAACAGCAACCATTAACAACTACCACTTTCCTGTATCAGAGTGAGGGGACAACACAACCAACGATTCGTCGTTTCCAGATCGCTCAGATGACTCGCGAACATTCAGATGGCGTTTCAGCAAAAAATCCCACGACAACGATGACACTGACAATGAGAATTAGATGAATCCGCAACCTTTTGCTTTGGACATCAATGGTGATCGTGTAGAAATTCATTGTGGAAAATATATTTGATATGATGGATGAGAACATTTCAGCACTATGATTTGAAGAGAATTTCGTGGGAAGATGCTCAAAATAAATGATGAATTATGAGAAGTAATGCCAAATCACAGAAGAAGGAAAAACAGGAAGTTTCAAGAAAAAGACCGGCTTAGGAAAGAAAAATGAAAAAGGAGTGAAAAAACTGAATTGACATTCGATGTTTTTTCATAGTCTGCTTGCAGACGCACTCTTGAACGAGGCGTCGATTGATAAGCGATCAGTGATTACATGAATGATCATGAGCATTGAAATATCTCTCGAAGTGCTGTGCACTTGCGATTTTTCAATAGAATTTAATAAGCAGCTCACAAAGGATCACGAAATTTTCCTCAACAATTGTTGAAACGTAGATGAATGAACGAAAAAAAGAAGTGATCAATGAAATTTACAAACTTCTTGCAGTTACGATACAATTTCAAGAACGAAATGAAGAAAAATGAAGGAAAAACGACTCAAACAGTTGTCAAAAAATGAGTTTCTAAAGAAAAAACGCATCACAATCTACGTTATAATCGCATTAGAATTACAGTTACTAGATGAAATCAACTCAGGCTGTGATGCACTCTTGTTCAACAGAAATCTTCCCGTCGAAAGTCTGCTTGCAGAGGTCTTCTCTTTCAAACGAAAGTGAATTGAATGATACGCAAAGAATGGCTTGTTGCGAAACAGAAATCGCTCGAAAAAGTTGGCGATTTGCAGACAAAAGGCGTACAATTCCATCATATGGGTACGGAAATCGCTCACTCATACGGTGAGTAAGGAAGAAGTCTCGTTGGTTCGATTTATGGCACAACCAGGTGGAATTCATGTGAAACAATGAAGAGACGATAGATTGGACAGGATTTGCAGATAAAGCGGATAGGGAGAGGGGGGAGGGAGGGTGGTGGTGGAGGTGAGGGATTTTACAAACAGATAAACTGTTGCAATCAAAGCATCAAAGCCTAGTGAGAATTGATTATGAATTGGATTATTCATATAGAGTTTGTGCGGNTGCATGATTGCGTTGGTTGGTTTGGTGGAGAAGAAGGCATGATGATCGTCGGGGCGTCGGAATGATTCATGAAATACACCTACATGAATGGGTAGATATGCGATAGACAGGTACGTCGTAGATGAGAGTTGAATACAGATAACTAAAACAGGTGTATGATGAGATGGATAAGAAGGAGAACATTTCAATTGACGATGCTCAATTATTCAGTTGTTGTCGTTAGACGCACACACCGGACTGCTCGCTCGTACAACAAGAGATTGATTCACACGGATTTATACGTAATAATGTTATGAAAATAATAAATAAAACTGGGCACGATACAGTGTTATTGCATGAAGATAGATAGACAGATGCATGCATGCAGCACTGCCACAGCAAATTTATCCACTCAGTCATCCGTCCGACCATGCATCCATCAATCAGTTATATCATGAGCGCCGATGGTCATAACTGGTATTTATTTATTTATGTATGTATTAGTGTATTTGTTTGTTAATAATAACGTTTGATTTAATAATAATATTGATCATAATATAAATAATATTAACAACATTAGTAACAATAATGATAATAATGGTAATAATATTGATAATGATATAAGTAATAATCATAACAGTAGTAATAATGATAATAATAGCAATAATAGTAATAGTAACAAACGAATAAATGCATGCTGTGATGCACGATCAGATGTGAGATTATCGTGGTGAGAGATATATCTAAGTATAGTTGATGATCTCTGTGAAACGATTTTAACAGATTTATTATAAGGATGATAATAATGTTAAGTAGTAATAATAACAATATTAATAATAAGAGATGGATATGAAG